CCTCCATAAAATATGCCTTTGGTAACTAAATTGACAAACTTACTAAAGAAGGGAAATTTCTATTGGTGTAGTGGGGTCACAGCCATACTATTCAGAAAATGTGGGAAGAACTCCATTACAGATGCCCACCTTAAATGGTAAGTATTTGATTCTAAAAGTATGCAACAAATTAGGATTTTAACTTTCAAAAATGTAAATGACCATTTCAAACAATATGAATAATAAGTTATTACAGATGATATAGGACATGCAATACTGTACTTGCACCATATTTGTGAAAGCACTGGATTATGATGTATTTTTGCAGATCGCAGATCCCAGCTAACCACCTCTAATTTATCAGATGATCAGTAAATGAAGAGTTCCTGTGACTTGCGTTGTTTGATGAGCCACATGCAGAAACTAAGACAACAATTATTAACTGTAGTGAGAAGATTCTGCATCAGATTATGCTGATGAACCATTTCTGTGCAGTTGAACTGGAGCTGTTTAACCCATTTTTCACCATCAACTTCCAGATTTCTAATTTGTGAAAGACTTCCATGTTGTGTTGAAGGTCTGTCAAAAAAAGTTTTTATTACAGTATGTAACTTAATCTTTGAGTAGCTGCACAGAATTGACAGTAATATTATACAAAGAAGTTGTCAGTTCAATAGCATTCTGTATTTACTACTGAGTTCTTTTTGTGACATTAAAGCACTTGATTAAAATTAGGGAAATGGAAGTTTGTAATGACTGTTTCACATTGGTTCAATTTCTTCATGAACTGAACGATAATCCGCCAGAGCTGCCAATACAGAGCATATCATTCTTCCTAAAGATGACCAGTCAATTTTCATCAGGAGTTGAAGAATTCAGCAGTATAGCTGACCGTCCTTTTTTCAGTTGGAAGATTAATATCATAAGTACAGCACCTACTTCATCAAATGGTACAAACACTTCACAGCCTTCAAATATGAATGGTATTACGTTACCTGGGAAGAGAGTCATACAGCACGGAAGCAGAGCCATCGGTCCAACTACTCTGACTTGCGTTTGGCCCATATCCCTCAACTCTATTAGTTGTATCTATGCAAATGTCTGTTAAATGTTGCAACTGTACCTTAATCTGCCACTTCCTCTGGCAATTCATTCCATATGAACCACCCTCCATGTAAAAACTCCTCGTGTCCATTCTAAACTTTTCTCCTCTCACCTTAGAAATATGCCCCTAGTTTTTAATGCTCTTCTCAACTTTTAGTTTATTCTAAGTTGCAAGTAAGCTATTTTACAAGTTCTTGCATTTGGAAATACATGCTATGCAGTTTATCTTCTCAACATTTTCACATTTAGATTTCTTCCTCCTTTAATTTTCAGCCTTTTAAAATGCAAATGATATCATCTAATTGCTTCAGAGATAGTAGGAATTGCAGATGCTGGAGAATCCGAGACAACAAGGTGCAGGGCTGGATGAACACAGCAGGCCAAGCAGCATCATAGGAGCAGAGAGGCTGACGTTTCGGGCCTAGACCCTTCATCAGAAAAGGGGGAGGGGAAGGGGGTTTTGAAATAAACAGGGAGAGAGTGGGAGGCGGATAGAGGAGAGGAAACAAACAGGTCGAAGAGGCGGGGATGGAGCCAGTAAAGGTGAGTGTAGGTGGGGAGTTAGGAAGGGGATAGGTCGGTCCAGGGAGGACGGACAGGTCAAGGAGGCGGGATGAGGTTGGTCAGGAGGAGATGGAGGTGCGGCTTGAGGTGGGAGGAGGGGATAGGTGGGAGGAAGAACAGGTTAGGGAAGCAGGGACGAGCTGGACTGGTTTTGGGATGCGGTAGGGGGAGGGGAGATTGAAACTTGTGAAATCCACATTGATACCATTGGGCTGCAGGGTTCCCAAGCGGAATATGAGTTGCTGTTCCTGCAACCTTCGGGTGGCATCGTTGTGGCACTGCAGGAGGCCCAGGATGGACATGTCATCTGAGGAATGGGAGGGGGAGTTGAAATGGTTCGCGACCTGTTCTTCCTCCCACCTCAAGCCGCACCTCCATCTCCTCCTGACCAACCTCATCCCGCCCCCTTGACCTGTCCGTCCTCCCTGGACTGACCTATCCCCTTCCTAACTCCCCACCTACACTCACCTTTACTGGCTCCATCCCCGCCTCTTCGACCTGTTTGTTTCCTCTCTATCCGCCTCCCACTCTCTCCCTATTTATTTCAAAACCCCCTTCCCCTCCCCCTTTTCTGATGAAGGGTCTAGGCCCGAAACGTCAGCCTCTCTGCTCCTATGATGCTGCTTGGCCTGCTGTGTTCATCCAGCCCTGCACCTTGTTGTCTCTCATCTAATTGCTTGCTGGTTTACCTCCTTTTTCATTTATTCAGCCTTAGATAACAAGGCCTGGACTAAAAGTATGAAAAAAATCATCCAAAGCGGAATTCAAATTAAGGTTTTTAATTGAAGGAAACGGGTTTTTAGCTCCTACACTAACTGAAAAATCAGCTTTAGATGAACAAATTTAAGCGATTTTCTCCATCAGCGGAAGCTGGGAAAACGCACAATGCATTTTGTTTTCTCAGTAATGTATAAATAAAATCTGCAGCTCATGACAGAAATTTCTTACCTCAGTCAACAACATACAAATGTCGCAACAGGCAAGGTTTTGTAGCGATTCTAAATGAATAAATTTATAATAAATCAATCTTGCAACAATATTGAAAGTGTTCTGAGTGTTATAGTTATCTTGTTCATCATGGTAGTTAAAATAAGTTTAATTCAATTTTTTTTGTTTAAGCACCTTAAATTTACAGCTTATCCAGCTGACGTTGTTACCAGACAAGTCATATTTGGTCTCTTGCTGAAACATAAGTACACAATGCTAAAGATTTTGCATTTAACAATAAAAAGGAAGTGTATTAACAAAGAAATAAAGAGAAAGTAAAACTATCAAAATACTTATAATACAAATTCAAAGATTTTTAAACACAGTAAAAGTATACTCCAGTCACTCGTTTTAAAAATTAAAAGGAAGCAAAACAGCTTTTGTATAATACCCAAACACGGCTCGTATAATATTTTCACTGGAGAGTCTAGGTTTAAGTCACTTGTGACTTCAACTTTTAGACTGAAACTAAAGATCGCATCCAGAAGAAGTTATCATACATTTGCATTTCAATGTACTCAGCTTTAGGTAACCTCCAGGGTTTTATCTCTTCACTTCTAGTCTGGATGAACACAGTTCCTCATTCTGCGGTAGCCTACTTTGCCATATAGATGTTTTCTAATGAATGTGTTCAGAAATGTTACAATTGCATCTCTGGAACAGATGGGACTTGAATGCAGGTCTCCTGACCCAAAGGTAGGCACTTAACCACTGTACTACAACAGCCCTTAATTTACTATCTATCCTCTTATGGCTACAGCTATCCTATTCCAAAGACTTCACAAGACTGCTCAACAGCAAAAATGGAACAAAAACCTCTCTCAATCCTTTAAGTAGAGGAGTTGGGGAGTCATGTTAAGGTTGTACAGGACACTGATAAGGTCTCTTCTGGAATACTCTGTCCAGTTGTGGTCACCCAGTTATAGGAAGGATATTATTAAGCTGGAGAGGGCTCAAAAGAGATTTACCAGTATGTTGCCAGGAATGGAAGGCTTGAGTTATGAAGAAAGGCTGGCTAGGTTGGGACTTTTTTCACTGGAGCAGGCAGGTGGGACCAGTTTAGTTTGGGAATCATATTCGCCATGGACTGGTTGGACCAAAGGGTCTGTTTCTGTGCTGTATGATTCTATACGGGTGTTTCCCTTAAGCTTGAAAACAAAAGACAAGTTCCAGATTCCTAACAAACCTCAAGGTCTCATAATTTGCCTTACCGAGTCATGAAATAATCAAATAAGACCATTAGTCGTGCACCAAAAATCACTCATTCTAGAAGAAATCATTACTATAGAAATATTTGCAAGTTAATTATTAACTTCAGACATACACACACACAGAAAACCCACTGATTGATTACTCTAAAACCATAAGATGTAAGAGCCGATGTAGGCCATTCAGCGAGAGTCTGGTCCACCATTCAATGAAATCATGGATGATCAGATAATCCTCAACTCCACCCTCCTTCCTTTTTCCTATAACTCTTGATTCCCTTACTGATGAAGGATCGATCTCCACCTTGAACACACTTAATTACTCAGGCTGTTATCTCCTCAGCAAATATGGGATTAACCAACAGCTGGACTGCTGGCTCTATTTAAGTTCTTATTAAAGGCAACTTTTGAGACCAAAAATATGATGTCAAAAAAAGTAGCAATAATCTTTGGAGTTGATTCACATAATTAAATTCATTTAGAATACCGCTGGCATCAGCAGTGCCATGACAAATGTGGAGTGAAAGTGGAATACTTTGATGAAGAGCAAGCAAATGATCCTAGCTCTGGATTTACAGCTGAATGCCAATATTTAAAAGAAATGAGTCAATGCAGTTTATGTGGCTATGTTTCACTTTCTAAGAAAGCTTTCACCGAGTAGTATCAATGTATCTTGGATTCAGGAGTTCAAGCACTACTCCAAACTTGGATATGTAATCTAAACTGAAACTTGTGCAGCACTACATTGATAGAGAGATATTTCAATCAAGATGTTAAACACACGCCCCAGCTTCCCTTTCAGTTTGGCGTAAAATAACCTACACCATTTTCCAGGAATTTGTACATAACCAATGTCACTAAAGCAGGATAACTGATAATTTCTCTCATTGCTATTGTGAGACATTGCTGAGTATAAATTAATTGCCTGTTTTACCATAGTAGTAAATACAGTTTTGAAGTGGATTTCATTGGCTGCAAGGTATTTTTGAAAAATGAAGTTCTAAAAGGTTCTGTCTAAAAAATGTTTTTACTTTCTTACAATCCAATGTGTTTTAAACTAAGTAATAATTTCTCAAATTTTGTCCAATACGTTATAAAGTTAGAGAATTTATTATGCTGACAGTTAGGAACTGATACACAACTTCACCTTTACCTATCCCCAATCGACTGTCATAATTAAGCAGTGCATCATGCTAATATTGCTGTGTAAACATGAGAAGGAAGGAATTAGGTAAACATGGACTTTGTTACATTCACAATTTATGTTCAATTCTATACAGTGTTTTGCCATTAAACTCTCTGATCTTCATGTTTTAGACAGAGTTCCAGAATTAATATTTAAACAGATCTAACATCTTTATTTGACACAGTTGCAACATAAAAACTTATGAAAAACCTGTAGTTATGTCAAATATTTCTCCACTCTCAGCAAAAAGTCCCTTCCCAATGGCAATGTGGATGTACCTGCAGGATAAACCATAGCAGTTTGAAAGGTGACTCACCACAACTGGAGGACAATTGTAAATAGGCAATAAATATTATTAATATTAATAAATAAATATTAGCCAAACCAGATATACACATGCCTTGTTAGTGCTGGGAATAGGCTGACTTCCATTTCTGTTTTCTACCATCAATATCTCGGTGTCTCATGTCAGCAGTTAGCCACTTCAGAAATTACTACTTCAACTCTTCCCAAACAGCTGTTTTTAATTCTAAATTCAGGGCAAAATCCCTGCTGTTGCACTGGTGTGTCATCTCCATTTTGTATACTATTACTCCTCCTGGAGGAAGTCTGAACAGTCAAATTACAGGTAGTTCTGTTCACTGTTGGGACTGTTGTGGCAGACTACCTCCATTTAACTAGGATATGTACACTAAACTGATATATGAAGCAGTTTCACTTTTCACTGATGCTAGAGTGACAAATAATAGTGCAAGAGTCCTGCAGCCATCAGATCTTTACGGAGAGCTATACTCAATGGATAAACAAAGTGGGAATTGGGGATGGGTGTGAGAAGAGAAAGACAGATAGATAGATAGAAAGAAAGAAAGAAGAAAACAGCTTCCCAACCAAATAATTCTGATATATGATGGTTGCATGTATTATGGCCCAAGATTAGGAGTTAAACAAAAACTGCAATCAAATGAGATTCCGTGGCATCAGGTTGTATCTGTCCCTAAATTTCCACAATACTGCTTCTGTTGGGGCAAAGAGGAAGCTAATGCAGCATTGTTAAACAGTGTAGTTTCATTTGTTGGGGTTCCTCAAAGAACTTTAATCTCTCAGATTTGGGTAAGATGCAGTGATAGGCCATTGGAAAGCAAAATGCAGTTGTTAACTAATGGTAATACTCAGGCACCCTTTCTGAAACACCACAATCCAAGAATTAACACATTTTAAAACGAGAAGTACTGCACATGCCAAGGAGTAACTTGGATTATTTCCTATATTTTAAAGGCACTATATGAATGCAACCTGTTGTAAATAGAGTCTTTCACATATTATTCATTCCTTCAGTCTTCAAATACAATCTCAGTCATTCACCTTTTTCTCAAATATAAGTGATTCACAGAAATACAGTTTCAAAACTAAATGTTATTTATCTAAACTAAATTCTGATACATCTTGAAGAATTATTTGCCATTCCTTCCGTACCGGTTGAAAACCTGTTGGTTCCTATTCAGCTTTTAGGAGAAAAGCTGTACTTTGCTGGATCATATTCATTCCAAAGTCGTCCAAATTCTTCAACAAATGCCTTCACAATATCAGTGTTTTTAATTATGATTACATTTTCTTTATTCCCAAAAATGCCTTGGGCACTCCAGTTCAAAGATCCAGTTATGAGGATCAATCCATCAATTATAGCAAATTTGTGGTGCATATAGTTTGCATCCTGATCATGTCGGACTTCTATACCTGTTAATAAAAAGTGATATTAGACAGTCTTCACAGTTGAGCAAAACCAACCAGAAGAAAAATAATAGGTACCTTACACAAATGTGCATTGGCTTCATAAAATGGTTTTGTTGCGACACATTAGGTCTCACAAGTGTGAGACCACTGTAATTCATAATAATTTTCAGTTTCTCAACATGAGACTTATTTGCTAATCGTAATAGAATATATATTCAACAATGAACACATTAACAGACCAAAAACAAAGTTGCTAGAAAAGCTCAGCAGGTCTGGCAGCATCTGTGGAAGAGAAAACAGAGTTAATGTTTCGGGTCCGGTGACCCTTCCTCAGAACTGATGGTGGCTGGGAAAACGTCAGTTTATATGCAGAAAATAGGGAGGTGGGTGGGGTAAGGAGTAAACGATAGGATAGAGCCCGAAGAGAGAGAAAGACGGTTGGACAGACAAAGGAGTTGCTAACGATCAGGCTGGGAGGGTGAACAGTTGTTAATGGGGACTGTTAGTGACTAACAACAGGGGGTGTGTAGTGGCAGGCTATATGGTAACAAGGCCTGGTGTGTGGAGTGGGGGGCTGGGACATGGGAGAGTTTAGGCCCTAAAACTATTGAACTCAATATTGAGTCCGCAGGGCTGTAGGGTCCCCAAGCGGAAAGTGAGGTGTTGTTCCTCCAGCTTGCATTGGGCTTCACTGGAACACTGTAGCAAGCCGGAGACAGAGATGTTGGCCAGAGAGCAGGGTGGTGCATTAAAGTGGCAGGCAACAGGTAGTTCAGGGTCTTTTTGTGAGCAGAACATAGATGTTCTGCGAAGCGGTCGCCAAGTCTACGCTTCGTTTCCCCAATGTAGAGGAGACCACATTGTGAGCAGCGAATGCAGTAGACTAGATTCTTGGAAGTGCAGGTGATGTGTTGCTTCACCTGGAAGGTATATTTGGGCCCTTGGATAGTGGGGAGGGAAGAGGTAAATGGGCAGGTGTTGCACCTTCGCCAGTTACAGGGGAAGGTGCCTTATGGCTGTGGGGAGGTGTTGGGGGTGAAGGAAGCGTGGACCAGGGTGTCCCGGGGGGAATGGTCCCTGCGGAAGGCGGACAAGGGAAGGGAGGGGAATGTGTGTCTGGTGGTGGCATCTTGCTGGAGGTGGCGGAAATGGCGTCTGATGATCTTCTGGATGTGGATGCTGGTGGGATGGTAGGTGAGGATAAGGGGAACCATATCGCTGTTGCGGGAGGGAAGAGAAGGGGTGAAGGCAGAAGTGCGGGAGATGGGTCGGACCCGATTGAGGGCCCTGTCGACAACACAGCTGGGGAATTCTCGGTTGAAGAAGAATGTGGACATCTCGGAGGCTCCCTTGTCGAAGTTGGCCTCATCTGAACATATGCGACGGAGATGGAGGAACTGAGAAAATGGGATGGAGTCTTTACAGGAAGTGGGGTGTGAGGATGTATAGTCCAGGTAGGTGTGGGAGTCGGTGGGTTTGTAATGGATATTAGCGGCCAGTCTATCCCCAGATATGGAAACAGAAATGTTGTGGAAGGGAAGGGAGGAGTCAGAGATAGACCAGGTGAAAGTGAGGGCAGGGTGGAAATTGGAGGCGAAATTGATGAAGTTTTCCAATTCTAGACGAGAGAGGGAAGCAGCACCAATGATATCATTGATGTATCGGAGAAAGAATTGTGGGTGGGGGCCGAACTAGGACTGGAACAAGGAATGCTCCACGTACCCCACGAAGAGACAGGCATAACTAAGGCCCATGTGGGTACCCATGGCAACCCCTCTTACCTGAAGAAAATGACAGGAGTTGAAAGAGAAGTTGTTGAGGGTGAGGACAAGCTCAGCCAAGCGGAGGAGGGTGGTGGTGGGTGAGGATGGTTCAGATCTTTGCTCCAGGAAGAAGTGGAGAGCCCTAAGACCCTCCTGGTGGGGAATGGATGCGTAAAGGGATTGCACATCCATGGTAAAGAGGAGGTGGCTGGAGCCAGTAAACTGGAAGCTTTGAAACCAGCGTAAGGCGTCAGATGAATCATGGATGTATGTGGGTCGGGATTGGACCAGGGGGGAGAAGACTGAGTCAAGGTAGCAAGAGATGAGTTCTGTGGGGCATGAGCAGGCTGAAACAATGGGTCTACCTGGACAGTCCTGTTTGTGGATTTTTGGCAGGAGGTAGAAACGAGCTGTGCAGGGTTGGGGGACTATTAGCTTGGAAGCGGATGGGGGGAGATCACCGGATGAAATGAGATCCGTAACTGTAGTGGATACAATGGCCTGATGTGCCATGGTGGGTCATGGTCCAGTGGAAGGTAGGAGGAGGTATCTGAGAGCTGGCGCTCAGCCTCTGCAAGATAGACGTCAGTACGCCAGACAACAATAGCACCACCCTTATCGGCAGGCTTGATGACAAAGTTAGGGTTAGATCTGAGTGCACGGAGTGCAGTCAGTTCGGAGGGAGATAGGTTGGATTTGTTGAGAGGGGCAGTGAAATTGAGGCGACTGATGTCACGTCAACAGTTCTCAATGCAATGAGTGCAAGTAAAGGGCCAGAGGGAGGGGTCCAGGTGGAGGGAGAGTGTTGGAGTTGGGCAAAGGGGTCTGTGAGACAGGGAGAGGACTCTTGTCCAAAGAAATGAGCATGGAGGCGAAGACGGCAGAAGAACAGTTCGGTGTCATGTCATGCCCGAAATTCGTTAAGGTGGGGACGCAGAGGGATAAAGCTGAGGCCTTTGCTGAGTACAGAGCGTTCAGCATCGGAGAGCAGAAGGTTAGGAGGGATGGTGAATACCCGACAGGAGGTGGGGGGTTGGGGGAGGGGATATAGTCAGGGGGAAGGGGAGGAGAGGTAGGTTCCAGAAGGCCCTGGGTATTTTTGAGTTGGAGCATCTTGTGGGCCTTGATGCCTGAAAGGAAAAGAAAAAGTTTCTTGTTAGCACGATGAATGAGCCAGAGGATGAAGTGGAACTGCGGAGTGGTGCAGCCCTGAGCCAGTGTGTTGCAATGCTGTTGGAGAGAAAGGTTGAGAGTGTGCGTGTAACGCCGCATGGCACTGAGCGTGGATCTCAGGATGCGGCGAGAGCAGCTGTCTGTGGAACATTGAACATCACGGAGATATCGGTGATCCTGGAAGGATTCAAAACATGAGGGATGAAACGTCAGTTGGAATCCACGTGGGGTGAGTCTGAGCCGGAGGCAGTCACTGAGAAATGTCTCCTCTACATTGGGGAAACGAAGCGTAGACTTGGCGACCGCTTCACAGAACATCTACGTTCTGCTCGCAAAAATGACCCTGAACTACCTGTTGCCTGCCACTTTAATGCACCACCCTGCTCTCTGGCCAACATCTCTATCTCTGGCTTGCTACAGTGTTCCAGTGAAGCCCAACGCAAGCTGGAGCAACGACACCTCATGTTCCACTTGGGGACCCTACAGCCCTCCGGACTCAATATTAAGTTCAATAATTTTAGGGCCTAAACTCTCCCATGTCCCAGACCCCCATCCCACACACCAGGCCTTGTTACCACATAGCCTGCCACTACACACCCCCTGTTGTTAGTCACTATCATTCCCCATTAACAACTATTCACCCTTCCAGCCTGATCGTTAGCAACTCCTTTGTCTGTCCAGCTGTCTTTCTTCGGGTTCTATCCTATCATTTACTCCCTACCCCACCTACCCCCCTATTTTCTGCATATAAACTGACGTTTTCCCAGCCACCATCAGTTCTGAGTAAGGGTCACCGGACCTGAAACGTTAACTCTGTTTTCTCCTCCACAGATGCTGCCAGACCTGCTGAGCTTTTCCAGCAACTTTGTTTTCGTTCCTGATTTACAGCATCCGCAGTTCTTTTGGTTTTTACATTAACAGACCAACTACAAAAGTGCTGCTTCCACATTAATGCTCATGTCTACTGACCTGATTATGGCCTCAACTCTACATTCTTGCCTGCCCCCACAATCTTAAAATTTCTGACCTGTAAGGGATTTATCTAACATGGCTTTGAATACATCTGAAGATCCAAATCTCCACAGCTCCCTCGGGTTGAGAATTCCAAAGATTAACAACCTTCAAAAGAAGAAATTCTTCCACATGTCCATTTTAAATTGCACTTCCCTTTGAAATTTTCTCACCTTAGTCTGGGATTCCCCATGAAGAGAAAGATCCGCAGTGTCTACCATATCAAGACTGCCCAGAATCTTACATTTTTACAAAGTCCATCAGGTAGCAGAACGGAGTGCAGAATACAGTGTTACAGCCACAGAGAAGGTGCAAAGACAGAAAGGGACAGAGAGAGATCGACATTAACATTTGAGAGGTCTGTTCAAATGTCTGATAGCAGGGATGAAACTGTTCATCAATCTGTTTGCAAGTGTATTCAAACTTGTACATCTTCTGCCTGACAGAAGAGGGTAGAAGAAAGCATAACTAGGGTGGAAAGGGTCCTTAATCATGTTGGTTGCTTTCCTGAGGCAGCCGGAAGTGTAGATGGAGTCAATGCTTAGAAGGCTGGTTTGCACGACAGACTGGGCTGTGTTCACAACTCTCTTGTAGTTTCTTGCGGTCACAGCAGTTGCCATACCACACTGCGATACATCCAGATAGGATGCTTTCTATGGTGCATCTATAGAAGGTAAGAATCTTTGTGAATGTGCCAAATTTTCTGAGCCTTGTGAAGAAATAGAGGCAATGTTGTGCAAGCTCTACAACAGCAATAGCTGCTATGCAGCTCCAAACAAGAAGTCTCCTTAACACCCTTTAACAGTTAGTTGGCTGACCTGAAAATGACTGATTCATCCCAATTTTCCATTCCATTTTAGTCAGCCAATCCTCTTTCCATGCAAACAGATTACACCACGAGTACGTATTTTATATAGCAATCTTATGTAGCACATTATCAAATGCCTTCTGGAAATCTAATTACACACTTACTTAATCCCAATTATCTGCCCTGATTTATCCATAGATTTGAATTGCTTGTCTACATGTTCCATGATCAACCCTGATGAAATTAAGGATTAATTTCCTTGGGGCCTCCACTTCTTGACTACTAACGTTCTAAAGTCAGATTAGCTGATCACTCTCAGTCATTTCCTCACAGGGGTTTTTAAAAATTATTATTCATTCATGAGATATGTACTTTGCAGGCTGGCTAGCATCTACTGCTCACCCCTGGTTGTCCTTGAGAAGGGATGAGTTGCTATCTTGAACCACTGCAGCCCATTTGATATAGGTACATGCACAGTGCTGTTGGGGAAGGAAGGAATGGTGAAATATTTCCAAGTCAGGAAGGCGAGTGTCTGGGAGAGGAACTTGCAGGTCGTGGGAAAACCACCAACTATATTTGCAGCTTTTGTCGTTTTAGATGGCTGTGAACGTGAGTTTGGAAGGTGCTGTCTAAGACACCTGGTAAATTTATGCAGTGCATCTTTGATAGTACACGCTTACACTATTGTGCTTTGGTGGTGAAGGGAGTGAGTATTTGTGGATGCAGTGCCAGTCAAGCAGGCTGCTGTGTCCTGGATGGTGTCAAACTTCTTGAGTGTTGTTGGAGCTGCACTCTTCCAGGCAATTAGGGAGTACTTCATCACACCTCTGACATGTGCCTTGTAAATGGTGGACTGGCTATGGGGAGTAAGGAGGAGTGTTTCTTGCTGCAGGATTTCTAGCTGCGATCCTGTTTTTGAAGCCACAGTATTTATGGCTAAACCAGTTCAGTTTCTGGGCAATGGTAAACCCTAGGATGTTGACTGGAGGGTATTCAGGTTGGACAAAGGTCATTTGACTTGATATCACCGGATTTCATTGGGATGCAAGTCAATGTTGAGGACTTTCACGGCAACTCCCTCCCTCCCTCCCACATAGCAGTATGCTGCTAACGCTGCTGGACGGTGATGGTGTTACTGGTGACATTACAATGTATGATTCAGTGAGTCAGGCTTTTGCTCAGACAGCTCTTCTAATTTTGATACTAACTCCTAAATGTTAGCAAAGAGGGCTTTGGTAGGGATGACAGGGCTGAGTTTGCCATTGTCATTTTAGCTCAATACCAGATGTTCTGCCTGGTTTCATCCCTTTTTGAGTCTATTTTGTGGTTTGACAACTGAATGGCATGGTAGGCCATTTCAGATGGGCAGTTAAGAATCAACCATATTGCTATGGATCTGCAAACACATGTAGGCTAGACTAGGGAAAGATAGCAGTTTTCTTATACCAAATGATAAGAAGTTAACCACATTTTTTAAAAATAAAAATTGGCAATTGATTGTTCCATAGTCATCATTAGATTTTTAGATCCAGATTTTAAAATAAATCCTAATTCCACCATTTGCCATGTTGAGACTCAAATCCAGATCCCCAACTTTGTGGTCCAGCAACAGTACCATTACACCATCGTGTCCCACAGATATTGGTGAAAGAAGGGGTCATTGGAAGAAAAAGGATTGGTGGCTATATTAACAATGATCTCTCTTACTGGAGATGTTAGCTAAGAATGGGCTCAATCACCAGTGTTTTATCTCACTAATGGCAACAGGATGTCTTTGATGCACCCCTGTTCTATGCATTAGCTTGTCTGTCTGTCAGCAGCAAGGCAGAGGAACATGCAGGATAGGTGCATGTGTGTGACAACTGTATATGATGCTAACTGCTGTACTGACCATCTTCTAATCATTTCAAAGTTAAATGAATACATAAATCAATCTACCCTCAAGATGCAACCAGGGAACGAAGATCCAGAAGCTCATCAAGGCACAAACCAGCAGTCATGAAAGAAAATAGACTGTACAGGGAAGATTATTAGTCACTTCATTAAAGATAACCAAGCAATTATTAGATATATACACCATATCACTGTTCTTGTAAGTATCAGGATAATTTTTAATTGAGTCAATAGCTAAGCCACAAACTATTAGGGTACATTGCCTGTTCAGGGTTTCCCTCAATGACAAGTCATCACTTCAAGCACGTTACCCGAAATATCCACAAGGTTAAAGAAGTTCGAAGAGATAGACCACGATTAATTAAATCATAAACAAAAGCAAGTTGCATTCGAGGGAGGTGGATGGGAATGGTGGGAAGGACGAAGCCGGAGGGCGTCAAAGGTGAGTGGATGGCAAAGGCAGGGCAGGAGAGGGAAAGGGATGTGATGTAGCTCTGACCAACAAACGAAGAGCGTGTGTGGAGTTAGCAAAGGCAGAGTTGAGGATCTGATGAAGGTCTGATTCACTCACCAGCTCTCCTGAAGGCGCCGACCTGCGAGCCAGCTAGAGCCATGTAGTCCGAGTCGGTGATGACCCGTACCCGCACCCCGCGGCCGTGCACCGCCAGCACTGAGCTGCTCAACTCAACGCTGGAGATAGTGAACACGCAGACATCGAGGGAGCGGCGAGCACTGAGCAACAAACGGGTCAGGCAGCTCAGTGCACTCTCCCGGTGCGACAGGCCACAATTACAATGGCCGGGACTCGAAAGCAGCAGCGGACGCACGCACGTCACCGGCGCTGGGAAGAAAAGGACCTGCGACCGTCGCTCACGAAACCGCTTTAGGTAACGGATTAGATAGTAGAGTCCTTCAGCCGCTAGAGAAAGTCCAGCCGCTGCCAGAAAGCCTCGCCACCCTGATACAACCGTTAAAATCATGGCGCCTCGCTCATCGAACGGTCCGCACCGCGCGCCAAGTCTGCACGTGGTCACGTCAACGTGACTCTGAACGTCTTGATGTCATCAGGAGTCGAAGTGGTGAGAAATATGGAAGGTTCAGGTGAGAGCTTTCCACACGATAGAAAGTGGACTTTGGGTACGGTGTGAGAAAGTGATGGTTAGATGAAATGGCCATGCTAGATTGTCCATAGTAACCAGAGATGTGTAGGTTAGGCAGATTAGCCATGGGATATACAGCGTCACAGGGACGGGGAGGAGAATCTGGGTGGGATGCTCTTTGGAGGATCGATGGGCCGAATGGCCTGCTTCCACACCGATTCTGTGATTCTATGAGTTATGTATTTGGGTTTTAAAAAAACACATTTTAAGAATAGTGAGAGACTGGAAAACATTCTAAGGGATCTGGGTGGCCTTCTATTACAAATCATAGAGAGTCAAAATGCCGATGCAATAATTTAGGAAAGCAAACAGCATGTTAGTTTCTGTTATAAAGGGGTGTGGGGTATAAGTGTAAACAAGTCTTACTGCAATTGTATAAGATCTCAGTTTGTTTAATTAAGGAAGGACTTACTTGTCCTTAGGTAGTGTATAACATAATGGAAAATGAAAAATGTAAAAGCAGAATAATATTTAAATGGAGAACAACCGCAGAATGCTGTAGTACAGGGGGATTTAGGTGCCTTTTCTTTGATTTTGGGGATTCGTGATCAGTTGCCTCAAATAGGTAGTCAACAATTTGTAGCAATTCTCTAATGCTTGAGTTTGCTAAGAAGCAGTAATTTAGATATGATACATTAATTAAATAGACGAAGAAAGTATACAACCATCACAATTGGAGATGGTTCACTGATATCAGAAGACAAATAGACTGTTGGCACAGAATGTCTCAGTCTCATTACAGTTGTGAAGGCAGCATCCTGCTCTCTAGCCAAAATGTTAGGAAACTCTTCCCTGGGTCTTCCTCCTCCTTTTCTGATTCAACTTAATCTCGAAAAGAAGCTAAAAACCAAAAGAACTGCGGATGCTGTAAATCAGGAACAAAAACAAAGTTGCTGGAAAAGCGCAGCAAGTCTGGCAGCATCTGTGGAGGAGAAAACAGAGTTAACGTTTCGGGTTCGGTGACCCTTACTCAGAACTGATGGTGGCTGGGAAAACGTCAGTTTATATGCAGAAAATAGGGAGGTGGGTGGGGTAAGGAGTAAACGATAGGATAGAGCCCGAAGAGAGAGAGAGACAATTTGACAGAGAAAGGAGTTGCTAACGATCAGGCTGGAAGGGTGAATAGTTGTTAATGGGGACTGTTAGTGGCTAACAACAGAGGGTGTGTAGTGGCAGGCTATGTGGTAACAAGGCCTGGTGTGTGGGGTGGGGTCTGGGACATGGGAGAGTTTAGGCCCTAAAATTATTGAACTCAATATTGAGTCCGGAGGGCTGTAGGGTCCCCAAGTAGAAAATGAGGTGTTGTTCCTCCAGCTTGCGTTGAGCTTCACTGGAACACTGTAGCAAGCCGGAGACAGAGATGTTGGCCAGAGAGCAGGGTGGTGCATTGAAGTGGCAGGCAACAGGTAGTTCAGGGTCTTTTTTGCAAGCAGATAGATATTCTGTGAAGCAGTCGCCAAGTCTACGCTACGTTTCCCCAATGTAGAGGAGACCACATTGTAAGCAGCGAATGCAGTAGACGAGATTCTTGGAAGTGCAGGTGAAGTGTTGCTTCACCTGGAAGGTATAGTGGGGAGGAAGGAGGTAAGCGGATGGGGGGAGATCACCGGATGAAATGAGAAAAGAAGCTCCCAGATGAGGACTGCCCTTTGTCCCTGAGCACATGCTAATGTATGCTATTTCTAGGTCTTGGTAGTCTACAAACACTTTTGGCAAATGATCATGGGCGGCTATTCATGACATCTGATGATATTGTCCCCTTGCCTAACTCCATTTGAAAGTTAGTTTTTGTTCCTTCCAAGAACAAAAACTTATTTTCCAAAACACTGCATTTATAATAGGATAGTGTAGCAACCAATTAATCTTTTGTTTACCCTTGTAGAATGGGAGTTATCACTGTAACACAGTCAAGAGGTAACATGCTACAAAGGAAGTACAAAATATGGAATACTAAGACAGTACAATTTTAAAGTCTTATAGTTTTGAAAAAGATTTGTAGCTCCGGTTGTGGACGAGGTTGTAGATATGCTTGCCAAGCTGGTGGGTTTTGTTGCAAACGTTTCGTCACCAAGCCCCCAGTGAAGCATTGGTGTTCTGTCCCACTTGTTATTTATATGCTTCAGTTTGTTGGGGTGTTTGGTACAATTCCGGTTCTGTTTCTTTGTGATTTGTACACAGGGTCTAATTCAATGTGTTTGTTGATGGAGTTTTGGTTAGAATACCAGGCCTCAGGAATTCCCTGGCGTATCTCTGTTTGGTTCGTGCAATTATGGATGTGCTGTTCCAGTCGAATTCGTGTCCTTCTTTGTCCGTGTGTAGTGAGACGAGTGAGAATTTGTCATTATCTCTTGGTGGCTAGTTGGTGTTTGTGTATCCATATTGTCAAATTTACTGTTGCTCCTGTTTACACTGTCACTATCTGGACCTACTTAGTGGTCCTTATCAAAGAAGGTTTTTCCGTTTTAAAAAAAAGGTGTTTTATAATTGAATTTTCAGGTATTTGGACTATTACCTTACTCCATGTTACTGAAGTTTCATAGAAATATCAATGTTTTTGCTTGTTTAGGTGTTTCTTCACCCTATCCTCCTGCCCAACCTCCAATTTTATTTCATTTGTCATTGTTGTTTGTAGATTGAGGTTATGAATTTAGTGCACGAGTGAAAAGAAAAATTGTTTGCGAAGAACATGTACAATCAGGCACAACAATATATTTCTTATATACATAATTCCTCAGGGACTTACAACGGGATGCACAAATTGAATTCTTGTCTTATCTGTCTCTGCTTTAGAAAACAAGATGCAATGTAGTTGTATTCTGTTGCTGAATGTGGATATATTTGGATCCCTTTATATGGGATTATAAATCATTACAGCATGAAGTTTCATGCCGCTGTTGTTCCAAGTCACCCATGGTGACATCTCCCATATCAGAGTCCAGTGCAATTGACTTAGAAGTGCAATCACCATCAGTAAGCAAACATAAAGCCATTGTGCATCAGTGAACTCTTGCAATTGGCAAAAATCACCAATTTATCTGTTTCTGTAGGTCAGACGTGAAAATTGTTAGCCTTTTCATAAAGAGAATTCCTTGGGGATGAGCTAAACATTACAATGTAAGTAACGGTAGACAAACAGAAGGCTGGAAGAACACAGCAAGCCAGGCAGCATCTGGAGGAAAGGAGAAGTCAACGTTTCAGGTATTACCTGAAATAACCAAAACATTGGCTTCCCCTTTCCTCCAAATGCTGCCTGGCTTGCTGTGTTCTTCCAGCCTCCTGTTCATCTACCTTAGAATCCAGCAGTTTTTCTTGTCTCTAACAATGTGAGCAATCCCCCACATGAAAGAAAACACAACAGCCATACAATTGGGGGACCTAATTTCAAGCAATCTGTTACAGAAGCTACTACATAATTCAGTTTTGTGAAATTATTTATTGAGAACAAGTATAACAGCAAAAAGATTAAAATCACAGCAGCATTACAGGATATAAATTGTAGGAAGATACATGAACAAATCATGCACTGAAACACAGGATCACATTAGAATAACCAAAAACAGAGGATACCCCATGATACCATAGGAAAAAAAGTAAATGTTTCTACCAAGCAAGGTATAATTACATGTATTGGTGGAATGATGTAAAATGCGTACTCTATCCTGCCCTGTACCAGAGGCATTAATTACCTGACCTATTAATTTCAAAATCATACCTAGTAAACTAACCAAGCTGTGTGCATATTAAAAGCAATCACCTTCCTCTCAAGACCTGCTGATGACTTTTCCTTTTTTTGTATGAAGTGCTAGTAGTGGATAGTGTCAGAGTTCATGCCATTTTAGTGTGTTTGACTTTCTATCTCCATTTCTAGAGATTGTTACAAACATTCAAGTTTTATATAAATAAAACATGCTGGCCAAAGCTACAGCTATGTAGTGTTAACAGAAAAAGAAAACACTTGAAATAATAAACCACCAGACATAATCTCAACATGTCACATACTTTATGGTCAGTTAAGTATCTATAGAAATGTTGTCATTTTCGCAATATTGGAAATAACATAGCTAATTTGATCACGGCAAGATCCCTCAAACAGCAATATGATAATTACTGGATATTCCATTTATGTGATAATTGAAGGATAAATATTGATCAGAACACCAGAAAGAACTGCTTTGCCGTTCTCTGAAATTGTGTCATGTGTATTTTAAATATTATGTAGTTTAATGTTTCATGGAAAAAAAATGATGCCTCAAACAGCCTCCGTACAGCACTTGAGTGTCAGGCTGGATTATATGTGGAACAAAAACAGAAGTTGTTTGGAAAAGCTCAGCAGGTCTGGTGGCATCTGTGAAGAAAAATCAGAGTTAACATTTCGGGTCCGCTGCCAGACCCGCTGAACTATTCCCGCAACTTCTGCTTTTGTTCCCGATTTACAGCATCCGCAGTTCTTTCGGTTTTTATGGATCATATGTCCTTTGAAATGGGTCTTGAATCCACACCTTCCTGACTAAGGCGAGAATGCCAACACTGAGCCATACTGAAACCAGATGTGACTAGTGACTCTAGTTACTTCTACATTGAAAATGGGCAGAGGTAATGTTTTTGTTCACATTTGTCATAAATAAATGATATATCTCGAAAACAAATAGATGGATTTCAGTGAAATTTTGTCCACAGACAAAGTATGCCTCAAGAAAGAACTTATTTTTGGCAATGATGCAGATTCAGAACCTACAATTTTTTAAAAGTATCATTTAACACTGAAATAGTGCGATTTGATCTTTTCAACCATGCTATGGCTTGGTTAGTTTTGAAACGTTGTGAATTTATCTCAGCTGGTATGGTGGAATTTCTCATCTGTCAAAATGCAAACACAGCTTTGTGTGTGTTTTAGCATGATGGATTAATCTGAAGCTTTCTTGTGAGATGAAAGCTCTTACTAAAATCAGTTTTGTAGTTACAGTGCTGCAACCAGTTGGGAAAAGCCTCAGGAAAAGCTGTGTAATTATAATAAGTTTGAGTTAACACAGGATGCCAGAAGTGTGCAGTCTATATATCTGCTTTACTTACACTGTTGGTGTGAGGAACTGATCTGAAATTATGCTGCATTGTTAGAAGAAGGTGCTCCCACTGGCTCATTGTTAACAGAGGATGTTTAAATGGAGATATGAATTTTGATTCTGGTATTAATAAGATTTAACTGTTGTGTTAGAAAGAGTGTAAAACAGAAAACCAAATGGTTCCTCACTGTGAAATTAGATCATTTCAAATATAGTCCATCCAGAGTCAGTCATTCTTATGTATCACTGGTTGCATTGCACAGAAGGACAGGTTTCACTCCATCATGTTCTTTGGCAGAGTTATCCAAATTAGTTCCACTCCTCCATCGTTTCCCCATTGCCCTGCAATTTTCTTCCCTCCTCACTAAAACTTCCACCCAGGTAGCAACAAGTTTATATGTTAACTAGGAGAAAAACTATCACTGCTAATCCTTGACCAGAATGGAGTTTGAAAAAAAAAGTTCATTATTTAGTTGAAGTGGTAAAAAGAAAACCTGGGAGATATACCAGCTGCTGGGTATGCAATTAGTGGTGATTTAATTAATGGTCTATTCATTTTCTCTGACTATTTAAAAGCAAAGCTAATTTAGAACTTCAAAATAAATTACTTTCATATCGGAGCAGGCCTAAGGAAGTAGCCAAGGCTGATCTGGGAGACCAGCACATCTGGTCTGTTCCATCTTTGGGCTAGGCTGAGAGAAATTGAACTCTGACAAGAGCTGGGTATTGTTCAAATGCTAGCGTTGACATTTATTCTTTAGAAAATTTTCATGCAATGCAGTAGTACTTATGCACAAAGGTAATCTGAAATAACTCCACGAAGGCCAATATCTCGTTACCAAGTTGCACATGTAAATAAATGGTAACTTGGTAACGGGACATCAGCCTTCGTGGAGTTACTTCATAATCTATTGGCAATATCCAGAATTAAATTTTCAACAATTGCCATCTGCATACAAGATGGCCATTTGGCTCGTAGTACCTGAGCTACCCAATTGATTCCACTTCCTTGCTCTTTCCCCTAAACTTTTCCAAATTTCTTTATCGAAGTATTAATCGACTTTATTTTTAAAAGTTATTATTTAATATGTTTCCACCACTTTCAGTGCATTCTAGATCATAACTATTTTCGCTACTTAAAAAAAAATTCCCTTGTTTCATCTTTTTATTGTCTACTTGACAGTTCATCCTTTCTGCTCTTTGCACCCCAAGTGATTTTTGCGGGCGAGAGCTTTTAAAGCAATTTAAAAAGTGACAAGTAGTGTGAACTGAAACTACAACTTTACAAGTTGTGGTTTGGAATTTGGGAGAGCTGTAGAAGAGTCAAAACAACAAATGTATCCACCAACATCTTACAAAGTGGCATAAGTATTCAGTGCAAATGGCAAATACCAGTTCTACAAGGTCACTTATGTATATTTGAAAGAAACAGTGTCTCTTAGAGCCTGGACTCTTGACTTGCTTGTTTTAATCTAAACTTTGTCTACGTTCCTGAAAGAAGAATCCCTTATATTGTTCATCCTTTGCATCTCTTGCAGATGATCCCTCTCTGATAACAGCTACTGAGCTACACTAATATTCTAGAAAACAGCTCAATTCATTTCATTTTGTAATTTAGCCTCAGTTTAAGGAGTAGTCCTTCTTAGACCATATACCCTATTCATCATTATTTAATATACAATTATTAAATAAAAATATAAATAAGCAACCCATTATCAAATAGCGATTTAAACCACACAAAAGCAGCAAATAGAGAACACAATTAATATCAACAGATCTTACTATAAACTTGCTAAAATAAATCAACATAGATGATTAAATTATTACAATCCATTGTGTCAAATGGAATGGAGAAATTGACAAGTGAAAATTAAACATTTAAAAAAAAACTAAATCAAAAGAGATCTCATATCTTGGTAAATCCCCTGCAAACCAATCAACTCCCCTGTTATGTAGTAATTAACAGCGCATGTCCTTGTCCATTGCTAACATATCCTCAGAAAGGATTACAACAAACATGTCTCTGGACAACAAAGATTTACCTATTAATTTTGAATTCTCTGAGCAGCATTTCCACTATTTGCAAGTACCTTAGCTAGCGTGAGTTGCTTGCTTCTGCAATTCTGAAGTCACCTGCTGAGTTTGCAGCAGTGGTTAATCATAATGATACCTGGTAATGCTTTTTTGCCACATGGTTTGCAGGTGGGAATGGATAGAAAGAAAGAGTGAGGCAGAGGTATATAACTTGCTCGAGTTGTAAACATTTCAGTTCTGCAGTGTGCACACAATCAAATCCAGAACCGGTAAAAGCAAGAAGCCACTCATCATCAACAGCTCAGATTCTTTCCAAACTTGAAATAAAATGCAATGAAGTAGGACACTGTTCCTGTGCTTTGTTGCGTTTTGATCCTGGATCTCTTGTTAAAATATGTCATTCTGGATATAGTTTAGATGGATGGTTTCCAGTTTTTCCACCAATGGCTGTGCATTCCTGAATTGGTTTCTTGTTGATTTTCTAATTTTGTTTTGGCACAGCCATTAGTGCCATAATTTCCTTATAGTCCTTCACAAGTTCTCTAAGCGGGTCCATGTACAGGTTCACATTCACTTCCATCCATTCCTCCACAGTGTCGGGAAAGTAAATATTTTCCATCTGTGCACGAAAGTTTCCCAAGTACTCTTCCCACTGTTTGTGAACTCTGAACACATTTTATAGTTGAATTAACCATATTGCATAATTAAAAACTGTTCTACAAGCACAAGCAGACTCTGTATTAATACAGACTTGGCTAGTAAACTGAGTGTTATCAGATTATAGTGATAAATTATGATTCAATAGACTGCACTAGTACACTTGATACTGATGAATCCTCAAAAAAGTACAAAAGCTGTGCCAGCAATGAGTCAATAACCCTTACAACACCACAAATTTCTATCACACTAATCGAAATATACTGACAAACTCCAAGATAGCATAAGACTGCACTTAGAAAATAAATTGAATGGTTACAACACAGAAGGAGGCCATTTGACCCCTCATGTCTGTGCCAGCTGTCTACAGGAGCAATTCATTTAGCTTCACTGTCCCATCTTTTCCCTGTAACACTGGAAATTTTTGTCTCCAGGTAATCATCCAAATCTCTTGAAAGCCAAGATTCAATCTGCCACCATTGACTCCACTCTAAGACTGTGCATTCTAAATCCAAGGACTCACTGCATAACAAGGTGTTTCCTCACAATGCCATTTCTTCTTTGCCTATCACCCTAAATTGATATGTGTTAATTCTTGCTGCTTCTACCAATGGAAACTGTTTCCCCCATCTACTTTGTGCAGCCACCTTATGATTTTCAATAACCCTGTCAAATCTGCTCTTAATCTTGTCCTATAGAAGGACAACAGCCCAACAGACTACAAAGGTATATAGATTGCTCAAATATTTGGGAAAAGATTTGGTCAATGGAGTATAATCGGGCAAAGCGTGAACTTGTCCTCTTTGGCCAGAAGAATCAAAAAGTAGCATATTTTCATATAGAGAGAAAATGTAGTAGAGAGGGATCTGGTGTTCTGGTACGTGAATCACAGAAGGTTAGGATACAGCATCAGCAAATGATTAGGAAGACAAATAGAATGTTGTTTATTGCAAAGAGCACAGAACATAAAAGCAGGGATGTTTTGCTGAAGCTATACAGGCGAGACCACATCTGGAGTACTGTGTACAATTTTGGTCTTCTTATTTAAAAGTGTATTAGAAATACTTAGATCATTCATGCAACTGATAGCTGGAATGGATTGGGGGGTTATCTTCTGAGGAAAGGTGAGAGAAAGGCTGGGCCTGTATCCATTGGAGCTTAGATGAATAAGAGGTGATCTTAATATGTACAAGATTCTGACAGGACTTGGCAAGGTAGATGCTGAATGGATATTTTCCTTGTGGGCTAAACTAGAACTAGGGGACAAAGATTAAAAGTTACAGGTCTTTCATTTAAGATGGAGATAAGCATTTTTTTTCTTCCAAGTCATGAGCATTTGGTATTTTCTTACCAACAGAGACAGTACGATTAAATATTTTCAAAGTGGAGGTAGATAAATTCTTCATTAAGAAGAGAAGAAAAACTGGATCGACTGGACTTGTACTGACTAGAATTTAGAAGAATGAGGGGGGATATAGAAACATATAAAATCCTGATGGGACTGGACAGGCTAGATGTGGGAAGAATGTTCCCGGTGTTGGGGAAGCGCAGAACTAGGGGTCACAGTCTAAGAATAAGGGGTAAGCCATTAAGATTTGAGATAAGGAAGAATTTCTTCACTCAAGAGTTGTGCACCTCTAGAATTCCCTATCACAGAAAGCTGTTGGAGCCAGTTCATTAGATATATTCAAGAGGGAGCTGGACGCAGCTAAAGTGATCAAGCAATGTGGAGAGAAAGCGGGAGTGGGATACTGAGATTGCATGATCAGCCATGATTATATTGAACGGTGATACAGACTCGAAGGGCTGAATGGCTTACTCCTGCACCCGTTTTCTATGTTTCTACGTAAGAAACTTGATGGTAATTGAGGATAAACAGGAATGTGAAGTTGAGACGACCATGAGATCAGCCAACAACTGAAAGGCTCAAATTTCATGTAATTCATAACCCAGCATACTCAACTCCCTCTATGCCTCAATTCTGCAATCTCTCTCCACTTAGATTACATGCTGCTTTTGTATTCTTCTTGCCAAAAAGTGGACAACTTCACATTTTCCTAAATCATACTCCATCTGCCAAATATATGCCCACTCACCTAACATCTCTATATCCCTTTGCAGAATCCACATAGCTGCTTCATAATTTACGTTCCTACCTATCTTAGTGTAATAAGCAATTTAGAAACCATATACTGGTTATTTCATCCAAATCATTTACAGGCAATCTCCAGTTGCAAACAGATTCCAATCTTCCATCAGTTTTCAAGTCGATTTGTATGCAGATTGGAACACAAGAGGACAATATAAAATAACCACTTGTAAGTACAGTAAAAATTTGTACATCAGTTCTTTAAAATGAATATTAGTATACCCCTGTGTGGGATCTTATTTTTAAGTATGAGCATTTGTAAACTGGGGACCACCTGTATATAAACCATGAATAGTTGAGGGCCCAGCACGGATCTGTATGGCAGGCCACTAATAATAGCTTGCTAACCCAAAAGTAGCCTATTTATGCCTATTCTACATTTTCTATTGACTGACTAATCCCCTTTTCACACTATTATCTTACCCCATATACGATCAGCTCTTATATTGCACAGTAAATTCAGTTCCTGTTCATACACATATCAAGCCAATCGTTCTTGCATTAACACAGATTGCCCTAGCAAACAGAAGACAGTCTTTTAATCGATAGTTTTCCTTGGCACAGACAACTGTTAGTTATTGCTCCCTAGTTCTAGTTAAAAAGATGTCTGACTTTTAAGACAGGGATGAGGAGAATTATTTTCTCTGAAGGTTGGTAGTTTGTGGAATTTCCTTTCTCAGAAAACAGTGAAGGCTGAATCATTGAATTTATCAAGGCTGAGTTAGATTTTGGATAGACAAAGGAGTCAAAAGTTATTAGGGGCAGACATGAAAGTGGAGTTAAGACGTCAACCAGATTAGCCATGATCTTACTGAATGATGGAGGAAGCTCGAAAGACCAAATGGCCAATTCCTGCTCCCAAGTCAAATGTTCCTACGTGCTTTGTGTAAAAGAGATTATTCCATTATGACCTGCTAGGGAATATAAGGCCAATGGTTCCTCACTCATCATTGATAGGGAGCTGGTAATTATTTTATACAAACCTAAACCACAAAGTTAGATGTCCATCAAAAATGGAATTCAAAGCATGCCTTAGGGAAACAAAATGATAACATTTGATAACAGCTCCATCCATAGAACTGAGAAAATAGAAATTATTTTATTAGAATAATTAATATGGTCAGACAAAAACAAACAAAAAACAGTCTAAATTTTTTGTTAGAAACAAAGAAAAGGGAGTACACCAGTTAACCCCTCAGGACTGTTCCTCCATTTAGTTAGATTATCAATCATCATCTCAACTCCTTTTTCCTGCCTTTCCTAAATTATTCCTTGATATCCTTGTCTAACAACTGATCTTGGTCTCGAATGCTCCAAATTGGCACTCAGTGCCACAGCTGTTTTGAGTCAGTGTCCCAAATTTGGTTGAAAAAAATGTTTCCTGATTTCATCTTCTGAACCGTCCTGTTCAAATTTTAAGACTACGTGCTATTGTTAATATTACCAGAGGAAGCAGTTTCCTTTTCAAATTGTGGCATGGTGGTTCAGTGGTGCCTCACAGCAGCAGAGACTCAGGTTCAATTCCACCCTTGGACAACTGTGTGGAGTTTGCTCATTCTCCCCGTGTCTGCATGGGTTTCCTCCAGGTGCTCCAGTTTCCACCCACAGTCCAAAGATGTGCAGGTTAGGTGGACTGGCCATGCTAAATTGCCCACAGTGTCCAGGGATGTGCAGGCTAGGTGGATTAGCCATAAGAAATGCAGAGTTACAGGGACAGGGTTGGAGTGTGGGTATGGGTGGGATGCTGTTTGGAGGGATGGTGTAGACTTGTTGGTGTGAATGGCCTGCTCCTACACTGTAGGAATTCTTTGATCCTTCTACGAACAGCATCTTTCTGCGGTTTAGTGATGTAACTTTTTGCTCTAAAGTTTAATACAGTTCATATTCACTAGCTATAGGTGATAAGTAATCCAACCATCTGGAATACCAGCCCAGTAAAATAACCACCAAGGTTAATATTCCTTGGCCTGAAGAACTGTCTAATTCCAGGAGACATCAGGACAACCCGAGGATCAAGGAAGTTATCAATCTCAAGTTGAACTCACCTGTGTAATTCACTGCCAAAATGCTCCATGTTGCGAGGATTTGCAAAGTGGTGTTTCCTGTTGTAGCAATTGAACCAGCCTTTGATTTCACTGTTTAAATGGAGTATACATTCATTATAAATACATTGTCAGCCTTTGTGGAAGATAGAGTCGCAGTATAACACGGGAGATTAGGACAATCTAATTACTGGCATCTGGGTAAATTTTGACCTCTCTTTCACAGAGTGGATTGATAGTTGCACAATAACGTGGGCGTGATAGAGGATCATCAAAACACCTCCACAATTACTGCATTCCATGTAGACATTATTGCCTAGGAGTACGGAAGTTAAATTTTGTGAATAAGAGACACGAAGCTTCTCATTTTGTATTCATCTTGACTGATTACTTTAGTATTACTGAACAAAAGAGACATTTTATCATAAGCTTTTTGTCTTGCATTCATTAGAACAATTAATGATAACTTACCATTAACTTCCAAACTTTGTTTAAATTTTAAACCAGGCAGGTTGACACTGATTGCCCTGAGAAATTAACCAATCAGTGTCAACCTGCCTGGTTTAAAATTTAAACAAAGTTTGGAAGTTAATTTTTAGTAACCATTAACTGATGCATTGTCAATGACAATGCCTCTACTAATCAAAAAGGTCCATATGCCAACCAGTCAGCACTCTTGTCATACATGTTATAAATGTTTTTTACCTCTTAAATTGGTATTCTTGCTATTTGTTCTGATGAGGGCAAGACAAAAAGCTTTAACAAAATTTGTTTTCTTTCAGCAATACTCAAAGTTCTGTACTACTGAACAATTAAAATTTTAAAGTTAGTTTTCTTGTGCTTCAGTCCTGATAAATGCAAAAATAAAAGGCTTTCATTTTATGTCTCTCCTTAGCAATACATTATAGAAAGAGACAGAGATGGCACAAAGGGAGGCAAATAAAGGACAGAAGTGCAAGTACAAATTCAAAACCATAGAACATTGTGATCAATAGGTAATAAGCGTCAAACTTTTTAAATCAATGTAAGGGCTTGTTGCAGTAGGGAAATTCAGCATATAATGAGGCAAATTAGGATGATTCATTTCACTTGAGAGTTATTTAAAAGTAGAGTTGGAACAAAATATGTAGAAATAATTATTTCTGTTGATTAAAGGAGCTAGACTTAAGATAAAGTACTAGATGACATAGGGAACGCAGTATTTCATAAAATAGCAAAGTTGAGAGGTTGTCAATGATCAAAGACTGTATCATTTAGGTGGGTGGTTCAAGGGATAAGCAACAGTACAAACATATGGGATTAGAACTACTGTTCTATTGGAGGTTAAATTCTAGCACAATATATGTTACCACAGGATCTAATGAAACTGAGCTAATCAGTGTTTGAGCAAACCGCATGGATGTTAGAGGCAAAATTGTAAAGTTAGAGTAAAATGAAAGAGCAAGAAGTTTGGATTAATAAGAGCTTCCACAATCACAATAGACTAGTTAACTCCCATAATGAAATTTCTCTGCATCCGTACATCTCACCTGTTATTTTCTATAACAGAAATTACTTCAGATTTCAGATTTTGAGTAATCCAATGAACCATTTGATAAATCTCAGCTCCTGCAAATGTGCCTTCACCTTCACTATAAAAGGAATGTAGTTGTCATGGAGTTAAAAACAGCTGAGCAATTCAAAGTGTTTCAACAGCATTCTAAAAACAATAACGGTAAACAATAATACAACCATAGTGCTGCTCTCTCATTAGAGAGATGGCTGGTAATGTGTAACCTGAGGTTCACCATGCCTCAGGCGAGAGGAAAAAGTTTGAGATGAGAGTCCTTCATGATAATTGCAGCTTGTGTGGGAATTGAACACACTTTTGGCATCACTGTGCATTGCAAACTAGCCATCCAGCCAACTGAGCTAATGACCCCCTGCTAAGGTATACTTTGGATGTTTCATTACATTACTAAATTTCATAATTACAAGTTTAGCAAGTTATTTGTACTATTTGGTAATGGAACAGTGTATATTCCAAAATGCAAGAGTAAATTGGAATAAATTATCAGAAGTCTTTTGAATATCTGATTAAAATGATATTTAAGCTTCAATTGAGATCTGTGCTAGCAACCCAGAAAGCAAAGTGGTTCATATTTGTCAAGGTTGACAACCAGGAAGACTCACTGGCCTTAGGGATTTCTAACAAGACTTTTTAAACATTCATTCACCAGGTGAGGGCTAGGCCAGCATTTATTGCCCATCCCCAATTTTCCAGAGGGTAGTTAAGAGTGGGTCTGAATCACATAGGCCAGACCAGGTAAGGCAGTTTCCTTCCCTGAAGAACATTAATGAACCAGATGGGTTTTTACAACAATTGACAATGATTTCACGGTCATTATTAGACTCTTAATTCCAGATTTTTATTGAATTCAGATTCCAACATCTGCCATGGCAGGATTTGAACCTGGGTCACTGGATTAACAACCCAGTGACAATACCAACAGGCCGTTGCCTCCCTTGAGTGATAGTGACATTGTTATTGATATTAATCATTTATTGATTTTATATCATGATGTGAGTATCACTGTCTCAACCAGTATTTATTGCTGATCCCTAGCTGCCTTTGAAATTCCAAATCTAATAGTATTTTTATTGGAGATTTCATTTTAAGTTTTCTACCATCTGCCATGGTGGGATTCAAATCCAGGTCCATCAAACTTTACCTGGGTTTGGATTACTAGTCCAGAGACAAAAACACTATGCCATCATCTCCTCACAGGGAATGATTTGTACATGATGGGAGAATTTTGATGTTGTTCTTGAGATGAGGAACCAATGCTTTTGACAATAGACAATCTAGTTAAGCAGGTCTTGTGGGATAGAATGCAGTCAGTGGAGCTCAGGATCACCTGGAGCAAGCACAGGATCTTGGGTGAATGGCAGTTGATCCTGAGGGCATGGATGAGAGTTTTAGTCATAACAGGATGAAGTAGGAGTGGAGACGGAAGACAGAAATAAGCCAGTGGTAATGCTTGGATATGGGACTCGGTCATTTATCAATGTTGAGCGCAGTATATAAATACTAGTTTTCTTTGAATTTGAAATTGAGAGCAGGATTAAGCATAACGTCTATTGTTGGACTGTACTGGAGGTGACCACCCAATAGTGAAGGGGATCAAATTTTTTTTTGCTTTGGCAAAAATGGAAATCAGTATTGTCAGTGTTGACACACAGTTCTGATTCATCCAGGATGCAAACAATTGTCTTCCATGTGCCAACTTAAATTGCCACATACCCTCCATTGCATAAGGTCACTAGCTTCTGTGTAGTTGCTTTGTGATTTTCAGAGCCCACCTCCCTTTAGGTACACCCCAAAAAACAGAATTTTAATAAAATTACCTCGAATTTTTTTCTAGGTCAATATTTTTAAATCCCAAAAGCTGCTGTGATTTGGTTTTCACCTTCTCTGTGAAAGAACCTGAGGAAGTGAATAGAGAAAAAAGAATCAGAAAAAGATATTTCACTGAAAGGGCTCAATTTCTCTTCAAAAAACACATTCAAGTGTAGAGGGAACTTTGCATCGATCCTTTTTAAAAATTCATTCATGGGATGAGAGCATTGTCACTGGCTCAGCCAGCATTTATTGCCCAGAGGACAGTTAAGAGTCAACCACTTTGTTGTAGGTCTGGAATCACACATAAGCCAGACCAGGTAAGGATGATAGTTTCCTGCCATATAGGATATTAGTGAACCAAATGGTTTTTACAACAGTAGACAATGATTTCATGGTCTTAATTCCAGATTTTTATTGAATTCAAATTCTACCATCTTGGGATTCGAACTCAGGTCACCAGAACATGACCTGGGTCTCTTGATTAACAGTCCAGTGATAATACCACTCGGTAATCACTTCCCCTAGCCTTTTCTGTATCTTCACTGCAAATATTTGATGGGACAGTTAAATCAAGTTCAAATCTACATCTAACCCTTGGCGTATCTGATCTGGGTATCTGTGGATACTTGGTGTAATTCTCTAGTACCAACTAAACATGCGTTAAAGACAAAAAAAAAAGAGAAAGCGAGCTTCTGGTCAGAGTGGCTAGTATTAAATACATTATGGTGTTCTTGCATAAACAGCAGCATCAACCTTGTCATGTTAGAGACTTCAAGTTTCAGGTAGTGCACCAAAATACACAACAAACAACAAGGTGCAGGGCTGGATGAACACAGCAGGCCAAGCAGCATCATAGGAGCAGAAAGGCTATATTTTTACGTTTCAGGCAAACAAACAAGCTGTGTTTCTCTATAGCAGAACATTAAGTCACACAAACTATTATAGTGCAGATGTGAGAAGATAATCTATATTAGTCCAGAGCAATGCAGAAAGGGAGAAATTAGTAAGCGAAATATTTACAGTATAGTAACTGAAGGAGTACACATGTTATTACAGTATACCTGGCAGGAGGAGCCTGTGCAAGATACACATCAGATCAGCATGTTACATCAAGTGGTTTAGAATATGGGAACCAGATACTGAGAGTGTTAGAAATCTTTAAAAAAACAGAAATACTCAGCAGGTCTAGCCACATCTGTTGGAAGAAAAACCAATAATGTTTAAAGTCAAGGACCTTTCATCAGAATTGACAGCAATTAATAGAATAGGTCTTAAACATGTGGAGTGAGTGAGAGGGAGAAAAGAGTAGGAGAAACAACAAGGAGAGAGATATGGAAGGTGGAGCAATGAACTGACAGTGTTTGCTGGTGCAAGGCAAAAAGGAGTGGCAATGAAATAAGTTAAAAAAAGGAGAAAATAAAAAGTATGTACAGAAATGTGAATGGTAACCAAAACAAAATAACTGAGACTCATTTTACTAAGAGGAACTCACCATGTGTCACAGTTTGCATGCAGACCACCAGGGATGGAATTGCAACTGGCAGCAGCTCACAAAGAGTTGAGAAATGATCGTACCTGAAAATGGATATAGAAAAGCATTGACATTATTTTTAAAGAACTTTTGAACAAAATCACCATCTTCTGAAACTATCAGAATATTCACAGTCTCTCAGATCCAGAAAAGGCTTCCTATTAACTGATGAAGCACCTAAAGTAAGGGTTGGGATGAATCAGGATTGCAGTTAGGCAGTCACAATTTCTAAACATTAGTTTGGTAGACTTAATGGTACATTGAACACTAGAGCCTTGATCCCATTCCTACTGAACTGACCTAAAGCCCTAGAGTTGTACATTAATTACTTCATGATTGTCCATTCCAGCAACAGATGATGCCTCACAAATTTCTCACGCCTCACAAATTTCTCACGGTGCTCATGAATCTGCAAGTTCCTGAGGAAACACTGAAAGGTTCCCTCACAAGATACCATTACACAGTATTTAAAATTAAAACAAGTCAACATGCAAAGCATCTGCCAATCAATCAGCACTGACTTTTTTCTGTAATGCAGTTGGAGTATGTTCCCAATGCCAAAGGTAGCTCTCCTGGAGCCCATATAGCAGAGAAGGCCACTGAGACATCAGTCAGCCATTTTCTGCCGGTTTGTGTCTGCACATGTGCTGTGACCAGCTCAGATATGTCAATGTGAATATGATCAGTATTACTGGATGGCATAAAATTTAAATTGTCCCAATATGATTGTGTTTTGCAACAGCCCATTGCTACTTTGACCATCTGCTAATGTTGAAAATTGAAGTTTTTAAATTGGTGACTTGCCAAATTTTAAAAAGAAAGCTCAGAATTGATCTTGTTGAAATAATTCTTTGACTTTGTGTGATGCAGCAATTTTTAAAGGCATGTAAGCTTTAATAAAAATAGAAGCCTCACAGTTCAGTTTTCCATCATCAAAATGACCTTATGACTCAGCTGCTTTAATGCTTTCATGTATTTGCAGTATTTAAGAACTCCGCAGGTTTTGTGGGGCTATAAATTCAACTCGTTCTCTGTACTCCAGGACCATGTTGCCAGATTGTGACTGAACGTTAGTGCGGTTTGTTCGGATTCCTTGGCCCTGAACAGGAGTGAAATTGTGAATTACAACCAAACTGTTTGTCAGTAATGCTACTGTAATGGGCAAACTAAAAATAAAAGAAAATTATAGGAATGTCATGAATTATTCTTTACAAGTTGAGCATTATTTTAAATTGGTGTGTTCCTTTCAGTTAATGAAAGCTAATAAAAACTTAATATCCTTTTGTACATGTGGGGGGCACCTTATGATTTTGAATTACTGCACCAACTGGAAGTACAGGAATGATCAATTGATCTTGGTTGCCCTTTTCTGTGAACTTTGGGAAGTACCATCTTTATGACAGGCAGTTGACGTTCTGTTGCACCAAAGCGATATAGCATTTCAGTGGTGTGTTTCTAGGAGTACTGTTGTTGCACCACTACTGGTGACGTTTATGATAAATGCAGCCTCATGTAAATTGTTGTGATTGGTTGAAATTTGGCATTCTTGCCTTTGTCCTGATGAGTGCAAGATGAAAAGCTTTGAAACATGACCTTCACTCTTATGTTCAAGTATTGTTCTACCCAAGTAACTGTTTATATTTCCTTCTTCAGTACTGTTGAGTATAAATAAGTGCAGGAAGGGCCTCACCTTTGCCAGCCTGTTAATGCCAAGCCTTGAAAGCGGAGAGATGAGAACTTTGAGATGGATTTAATCACCTGCAGCCACCGGAGGTGATTGTCCAGGTGGAACTTGATGGGTGTCCAATTCTGGCTAACACCTGTTGCCCCTTTGAAGGCACTTGCAAACCAGATGCTCTTGAATCCACTGTCCATGTACTTGGCAAGAAATGTCTCTAAAAATCAAAAAGGTTCTTTATTTTAAAACAAAAAAAATCCAACTGAAACCTTGATGTATATCTTAAAATGATGATTAGCTGCAAGTACAGGTAACTGGGATTAGTATAGTTTGGTGTTTGTTGGTCAGCATAGACATGGTGGGCTGAAGGGCCTGTTTCTATGCCGTATGATTCTATCATTCTATAAACAGACAGTCAAAATAGGGAAGATGATGATACAACTGAGGATTGTTTCTTCTTACCTACTTGGTCAATGTTAAAGTCTGGATGATAGAACCACACCATTGGGGTAATATATTCAGTTATACCAGATTCTGGAAAGAGAAAACTCAAGTATGTTACATGTATATAGTATATACCTACATGTATAATAGATATAAAATAATAAAAACATACATTTATGCAACAGGTTTGATGGCTTTGGGATGTCTCAAAGGTCTTTACTGCCATTTAAGTTCTTCTGGTGTGGTCATTGTTGTGGGAAATTCAGCAACCAAAAAGGCACACATCGAAGTTCCACAAACAGCAATGATAACCAAGTGTTCTGTTTTAGTGATATTGGTTTAGGAATAAATATTAGCCAGAGCACCAGGAAGAACTTCTCTGATCTTCTTCAAAATGAGATTTTTACACCAAAAACAAAAAAAAAGGGACTTGGAGCAGAATCTCGTGACCTCCCCATACCCCCACCATTATCATGAATGGCCTTCCCAGCTACCAACTGTGCCCTTAAGTGACCAATTAACATCCGCTTTAAAACAATAGCCTCTTCCCAGTCGCACTAGTCATAACTGCATGGTCGTCAGGAGCTTGCCATATTTCATGCATTTGCTCATCAGCCACTGGAAATGAGGCTCTTCATTCAAAGGCACTCAGTGCTTGATCAAAAGGACCTGGCAACAAGGGCAGGGCCATCTGAATGCCACTCTCCTTTCTGCTGATTCCCCTAAACCTCAGCCTGTTACATTCCCCTGCCCCAAAACTGTGAACCACCTCCCACCATCACTTACTAGTGGAATGTGCCCTGGGCCTTGGGTGTTTTTTGTTCAGACAGCAGACCTCTGATCCCAGGGAAAGCTTCACCATGAGCTGGCTAACTGCCTGACTGGCATATACGTCAGTGGGCCTTCCCAAAAAGAAATGAAGTGGTTGGGGGCGGGGGGGTGGAAAGAGTTCTCACTGGTTTTTGAACTGGTGGTCAGCACCTCCACAGTTAGTACAAGATTCTGCTCATGGTTTTAAATGAGTGTCATCTGAAGCACAGTTCCTCTCATTGTAGCACTCCATGAACTGTCAGCTTAGATTTTGTGCTGAAGTCTTCAGACTGGAAATTGAACCTATAAACTAGTGACTTAAGAAGCAAGATTGTTCCCTCTAAGCCAAAGCTAATATAGCTATGTAATAATACATTAGCTACAAAAGTGTCATGGCTAAACTTAAGGAATACTGTTAGAAAATATGGGTAGATTCACTTTTACATTTTTATATTGGCTACAAACCAAAATGATCAGAGTCTCAACTTATTCATATACTGGGCTACCTGATGTTTTTTATATACCAAGTATTTGCTAAGCTCATAGCAACAGCCAGGGGAATTAGAAACAACTCCAAGGTACCCAGATTGAAGTTCCTCTGTTTTGCAACATATTGTATTGTAATATGATTACTGCCTAATGTCTGAAATACTTCCTGAGACCAAACACACCATATGTAGCTTTATGTAAGGGAATGCTGGTTAGCGGAGACGGGTTCCAGCTCTGTATCCAATGTACCAGCTGTTGTAAAGATCTATTCTCAATGGTGTCTTGGATCACAGCGTGTATCCAAGCGGTTCTTTTCAGATTTGGGTAAATGTAATTAAGAGAAGGCTCAACAATAACAATTTGCTTAAAAATGAATGTGTATTAGGTAATAATAAATGATTATAATGTTAATAATAAATGGAAAAGAAAAAGGGGAAAAAAAGCAACAAGTCTCATGCCTTTCTAGAAAAAGCAACAATCTCATGTTCTTCTGTCTGGTCGGGACCCCTCAACTGATGGCTGCTCTGGAGGCTTTAGGTTCATCCCTGGCACTGTTCACGATTCCAAGCCGAAGCGAAATCCAGCAGCAGCAATAGCTTGGAATGAAACTCCCTTTCTCTTATACAGTATCTCAATCAGTACAGAAAACAACAGATACAATAGATGAAACTGCTGGTTTGTACCAAAAACAAATTTTTTAAATTATGCTGTCTGCGGCACGTACAGGAATGTGCACAGGACTCATCCAAGGTCATGTAGTTTGTCGAGTATCAACAATTTTAGCCCTTTGGCCCATCCTATACAAATGGAAATATTATGGAGCTGCTGGTCACAGAAATCACTAAGCACTGGCCTGTACTTCCAGAGCATCATCACCGTGGCCCCGTGTAAGGGTAGCAGTTTCTCTGGGGATTCTTCAAAGAGAGCAACTCACATCAATCCACATTAGTGATGTCAACCAAAACCAACTGGTCACTGCATCATGTCCTATTTAAATGTTTATCCCTCAAATAGTATCACTAAATAAAAAAGATTTTATTTGCTGTTCTGTGAAAGCTTGATACTATGTATCCTACATTGTAGCAGTGACTGCACTTCAAAAACTTGTAAGTAGCTTCAAACACTTTGGGGTGTCTGGAGATATTGAAATAAACTCTGAATGGAAGTATTTTATTTATTACCTTAACATAGTATTAAGCAAGACGGATATTCTTTTCAAACTCCATTTTACCTTTAGAGCTTCTTTCAATACACAGAGGACATGATGTGGAGGTACCGTTGTTGGATTGGGTTGGACAAAATTAGAAATCACAACACCAGGTTATGGTCCAACAGGTTTTTTTGAAAACACAAGCTTTCGGAGCCTCGGTCCTTCTTCAGGTGTTAGTGAGAGATAGTATCAGACACAGAATTTAAAAGTAAAAAGGTTCACACTACTGATGAGAATGTACTAAACAAACCTGAGAGAACTAAAGGTTTTATCAGTGTAAAGAACAGGTGATATTTTAGGTCAGACAATGCATTGTTAGGTGCAAGACCTTGTTTAGAATCTGTGTTTTAATTTGGAGTCAGACTGGTAAAACCTTTAGTTCTCTCAGGACCATGACTTGAAAGGAATTTGGGGATTTACATATTCATATTAATCAATAAAAATTTCTAACTGATTAAAGATTTAATAGCATCTTAGGTTTGTTTAGTACATCATCAATGGCGTGAACGTTTGATCTTTTACTTATAAATTCTGTGTCTGATACTACCTCTCTCACTAACACCTGAAGGAGGACTGAGGCTCTGAAAGCTTGTGTTTTCAAATAAACCTGTTGGATATAACCTGGTGTCATGTGATTTCTGACTTAATACAGAGGACAGACTGCAGACCTTCGAATTCGCCACCAAACATGCATGACATGTCACTGAATAAACAAATCATAAAATTTCATTACTTCCCTTTCTAAAAACAACAAGGTTAGAAAGACTCACCAATGATTCTTTCCTTATTAATCTTTCGTATCATGTCATCCCACATGATGAGCTTAATCCCAGGATATTTGTTGACCACAAAATTGCCAACTTGCTTTATGTGATCCAAGAATATCTTTCCAACGTCTCCTCGTTGTTCGTTGATCCACTGTTTGGATTCAGTACTTTCTCCAAGATTAAAAACCTCAAAAAAAGTAAATTCTTCATAATACCTGTAATCATCTTCAGCTCTACAACCCTTCAAGTTATCCATGCTCCTTTAATTAGAATCAATTGTGAATTCCTGAAATTAACAATTTCACAATGGCAAGTCTACCTTTAGTTGCCTAGGCCTTCAATGCTGGACCAGCCTCCCTATCCACATCTTTCAGCCTTTCTCCCTTGCTTTTCTCCTTTAAAAATACAGTATAAATACAAGGTTTTTTTAATAAACTACACAATATCACATGCTGTTCAAGTACCCTACTATCTAGCCACAGTGTTCATGCAGTAAATGGCAAACTAACCCTGAGCCTCACCACAGAGGATTCTCAATAGAACTCACTGCAACCGAGTAAATCGGAGGGAAAGACAAGATTTTTATGAAAACATTTATGAATTTCTGCTTCGTTGCTAAATTTTCAACATTATAGAACTTCGCTCAATAATGCAGCTGCTTTTACCGGGTAAATAGGTTCAGTGTGGTAGATGCCAGTTTGCAGAACTATCTTCATGTATCTTCCAGTCTAACTGTTCAGACAAATATATAGATTTCACTTGGACAGCACATTTGCTTTCAAAGAAATTCACTTTGCCAAAAGACCTGGAAGAACAAACCCCTGCTAAAGGCACTGCAAGCTTTGCATTAATCAGTGTTCACTTGACAAGAAGCTGAATCTATCACCATTGTCATCAATAACACACAGACTGACAAAGAGTTAAACAAAGCAAGTCTTTAGTCTAGTCCTCAGAGTGATCACTAAGCACACCCATTAGAAATGAAAAATGGAGAAAGCATAACTGTTGTAAATATCCAATTCGTCACAAAGTGATTCCTCCATCTTGTAAGATAATGGTTGATGCAATGGTACCTCAGGAGCCTCACTCCAATACAATAGTCTCTGCCACATTTGCTGCAGAGGAAGTCAATAGGTTGAGAATATGCACGATTCACTTCTTGCAGTTTTCTCTTGGCCAGCTAAGTTTTTCATTTCTGCTTGTCTCTTCCGTTGACTTTCCAAATAGTCAGCCTCCGGAGATCTTAGCTGTCAGCAAATCTCTCCCAGTTGTCAGTGTCAGTGTCTGCTGTCTTGATATCACCTCTGCTGGTGTATTTAGAAGAGGTCATAATCCAGTGGCCAGTTCACCATATGGAAGGTTTTCGCATCTGCAACTACCGTCCATCCATCTGGCCAAATCAACTGTGATGTAGTTAGCTTAATAAAGGGTGTATGCAGATAGGATCTGCATGATCCAGAATTGGTGACTTTGTCCTGCCAAGAGAAATTGCTGAGCATTCTGGTGTTTTCAGTCAGGCTGCTGTTGTTCCACATTCTTAATGAGCTTGGACAGAATACCTTCAACTTGAAGACTGTATATTCATTTCCGTTTCAAGTGACATTGCCGGTGATTATGGAGCCTAGATATTTGAAGCATGACATCGTCAATGCTGGTAGGTAATGACAACATACTGGACTATGATATTTGTATTCCTGATGTTGATGGTCAAATCAAAGGTCATAGGCATGATTGAGTCTGCCAATGTGCTGCTCAAGTAGCTCTTACTATGGGATGCTAGTACAGGCATCATCAACGCAGATCAGCTCACTGATGAGGACTTGGTACACCTTTGTCTTGCCAACCAGAGAAGTAACACTGAACAGTTTCCATCAGTTCTGGTATATGTACAAGTTGATACACTGTTGTAGATGATCTGACAGCAGCAAAGAGAAGAATATGCCAAAGAATATCAATGCTAGATCACAACCCTGTGTGACCTCATTGCAGATCTGCAAAGGGTTCCAGTGTTATCCAATCATAGCAGACCTTATCCATCACATAGCCAAGGAAAGGGAAGATTACATTAAGCTACTTTGGCAGGCAGCCAGTTTTCTCCAGCAGCTGAAATAGACCACCTCTGTTCACATATCCAAATCCTTGATGAGATAAATGAAGCCAATATACAGTACTCTTATATATTTGCTGAATTTCTGTTTCTGCTGCCAGACTGGAAAGATCATATCAATTGTCGACCTTGCAGTTCTGAAACCACACTGGGATTTGAGCTTGTTGTATCCAGCCAGGATCTGCAGTCTGAGTAACACTTTTCCAATATTCTCCCCGTCCATTTCACTCAGTGCTATAACCCATTTCTCACTATTATTACACTTAGTTGCTCCAATTAAATAATATACAAGATCAATAATCTACAAGGCAGGTAATTGCTACAAAACCTTTAAATGTTTTCCATTTTCAAAACCATAAGCAATACCTCTATCAACTGAATCCTCATGAATGATTAAAAACATTCAACTCATTGATTGGCTGAAATGCAACACCGTGGAAATTCCCATTGAGCAGCAAGTTGGGCAACATCCATTATCCACCTTAAAAAAAAACGAACCATCTGGAGCACAGCTGCTCCTATTCCACGATCTTACCAAACTCTATCCATGTTGACCAACTATATACCTCGTTATTCCCCACTCACCTCCAATACATTTAATTTTATGTTAAATCCTGACATGACCCACCTCCCAGCCACCTCACTTTGTGAAGCTCCATCTAAAGGCCATTACTATATGTTAATGTGAATTGTTGCATGAAGCTTGATGTGTAAACTGCACAAGTATAAATATTATAAGGGTGGCATGGTGTCTCAGCAGTTAGCACGGCTGCCTCACAGTGCCAGGGACCCGGGTTTGATTCCACCCCAGGTGACTGTGTGGAGTTTGCATATTGTCCCCGTGTTTGCATGGGTTGCCTCTGGGTGCTCTGATTTCCTCTCACTGTCCAAAGATGTGCAAGTTAGGTGGATTGGTCATGTTAAATTGCCCATAGTGTCCAGGGATGTGCAGCCTATGTGTATTAGCCATAGGAAATGCAGATTTACAGGTATAGGTTGGGTTTGAGTGTGGTGTTCTTCAGAGGGTCAGTATGGACTTAATGAGCTGACTGGCCTTCTTCCACACTGTAGGAATTAAATGATATACTATAGACAATGAACAGAGTGATGTGTTATCAAGGCAGTACTGCTATCATATACCCTACACTTAAATCAGCATCACTGCACATTACTTACCTCATCAGCTCCTATGTGGATCCAGCCAGATTTGCTATGTTTGTCAAGTACTTGAGACAGCATCTTCTTCACCAGAATCAGAGAGTCAGCCAAATGGGGATTCAGGCTATTGGGATATTTCTGTACCTCTCTGAGGTTCCGATATTTATCATGCTTGAGAACAAACTGTTGAGAAAACAATCTACAATTAAATAATAAAACAGCCTACCAATTTTCAGTTAGTAGGATGATGGTGAATAAAGTCAAAATTACTTGATCGTATCCAAAAAATCTCAATAATGATTTGAGACCTGGAAACTAACAACAGTTTAAGAGTCAACAGTTTAAGAGTCAACACTTAACCAAATTCACAAGTGACAGACCATCATAAATTTCCTTAACGGAAGAATTTGTTGGCAGAAGTGCTTAAGATTATATTGCACATAGCAGCACAATGAGCTTCCCCTGAATGTTCTAAGATTTTCCCAGGCAGAATGTAAATTTCATGTCTTATTCGAGTAAAAAACAAATCAGAGTGACATCCACATTTTGAAAGATAACTTTCACGAGGAACATACATAACCAATTCGGTGCCCTGAGCCCCCTTCTTGTCTGTGTTTCAAGTCTATGGATCTAAAGGGACCAACTCAGTACAAAGCTTTCCCTCATGATCAGAAATGAGCTGAAGTCAACACTAATCACAATTACAACCCTCAACTCAAATTCACATCAAATTACTGATGTTCACTTTTTCCAAGCACTAAATCACACTTGGTTGTGTAATTTGTATTGTTCAATTCGAAGTACTGGATTGTTCTTTTTTAAAAATAGGAAATAACTTTACAATATAGATTTTTTAATTAAATACACTTGTCCCACTTGTTTTCTGGCTAGCAGGACCTAAATGCAGCACTGAGACAGATAGGCCAGTCCTCCCAGGTACAACATATAGTCTGTTCCCTCATGAAGCGGGGTTACAGAAGATCCAACATTTGAAAAGAAAAAAAGAGTTGCTATGTTAAATGCCAGACCTGGTTACCAGTCATTCACCTTTTAATTCCCCAGTGCCTATCTACCATCTCCAAGAGAGAAAGCAAGAGCACTTGCCAGGATGAGTACAGCTCAAATAACACAGAGGCTCAACATAATCCAGGACAAAATTGATCACTTTAAACATTCACTCCCTTAACCACCATTGCAAAGTGGTAGTAGTATATACCATCTATAAGAGGCACTGCAACAAATCAATAAAGCAGCTTTTGACAACAACTTACAAAGCTGCAATCTCTACCACCTGGAAGAACAAGGCCAGCAGGTACACGGGAACACCACTAACTGCAAGTTCCTATTGCCATATCCTGATTTGGGAATACAGTTACTATTTATTCACTGTCACTGTGTCAAAATCTTGGAACTCTCTTTCTAACAGAACAATAGGTTTACCTACATCACATGGACTTTAATGATTCTAGAAGATGTCTCACCACCATATTCTCAAGGGCAATTAGGGATTGGCAATAAACACTGGCTTTGCTGGCAAAGTTGACATCGTGATGTGATTTTTTTAAAATTCAAAATATACCCCATTGCCATTTGGATAAAAATCTAAAATATCTTCTCATATTCAGCTGCTCGACAACAGCCCCATTGGTATGTGAGAAATCCAATCAATCAATGGAACCACATCCATAAACATGGAAGAGCAACTTTAATGTCACAACAAGTTCCTTGTCTGTCATTCACTAACTGGGTTTAAAACAGAAAATAAATGTAGAATTAAAAATAGAAAAAAATCTGGAAAGGTACAGCAGTTCTGCAAATGAAAAGTAGTAAATTCCTGATTTGGGTTGAAACCAAAACCAAGCAGCATTTTCATGAAGGTCTCACTGAAAACGATGATTGGTTTTCATTATCAGAACGACTTAGAGCTGTCCGATATCTGCAGCAGATCTCGTTACTGATGTTGCAAAGGAGGAATCGAGGAAATCTGTTCAGCGGTAATGTTACCTGTGCATTTACAATCCCTCTCACACTCCCGCAATAATCTTACCTCCATGTGCCCAAAGGTTTGAATTAAGGGAATAATCTCCAAATTATTGCTCTCAGCTACCTGTTGGATCTTGTCAATATCAGCAGAACTGTACAATGAAAATAAACAAAATTAACAAATATATAATAACTAAAGTGTTTACACAGACACTCCAGAGATAAAAGATTATTGAATTTGATATAGCTTGCTGTCAGGTATTCATTAGTGTATATATAAACTATCTGAACACTTTGATTAGATTTCAGCCTGCAGTTCTCTCCCAGGTATCTAACATTCTTTAAACCTTTAACTTTTCGGTATCTTGTCATTCTACAACTTCCAGACTCATTGATAACAGTCAACCAGAAACAAACCCCTCTATGTCCATTGTTGGCTGCAGCATCATTCTAAACTGTGGAGCGATGGGATGAAGGAACAGAGGGAACAATGTCCCCATCGATCCATGCTTATTGCCAGGTCACAGCCCCCATCCCATCATCACTTCCACCACCACTAGAACTTAATCTTTTAAGTATCAGATAAGGATTGGGTTTAGTTGATATCAAAAACGAAATAGCCTGCCAACACTCACCATTCATGGTCACTAAGGTGAACAGATATTTAGACAAGGCACTGGAGCACAGCACAGCTGGGAATGGTAGAACTGCACTCCAGCAAGAATCAAATGTTGTCAGCATCAGGGAGGGAAAACACTGAGTGGAGAACTGTAACAGGTAAAACATACACCTCTTTAAACCTCACCTTAGTAGAACACAAACTGCAGTCTGGAATAATCATATTCACAGAGCAAGACCAGCACTTCTTGCTTCATCCTATCTTAAAATCCCAACAGTGCATGTAGAGGCCATTCGGCCCATCAAGTCTGCAATGACCCACCAGACAGGATCCCATCCAGACACACGCTATCCCCATAACCACGACTAATCCACCTAACCTGCACATTCCTGGACACTACAGGGCAATTTAGCATGACCAATCCATGTAACCTGCGCATCTTTGGACTGTGGGAGGAAACTGGAGCACGTAGCGGAAACACGCAGACACAGGGAAAATGTGCAAACTCCACACAGACAGTCACTGAAGGCTAGAATCAAACCTGAATCCCTGGTGCAGTGAAGCAGCAGTGCTAACCACTGTGGCATTGTGCCACCCCAACATCCATGGCTTCGTCTCTGGGTGGCCATGAACCACCAACCTTCTAGTTAACAGCCGAAAATGCTGACCACTTCCTACCTGAATGCATAGGTGGATTTCAGAATTTCAAGTTCATCATGGTAAGGAAACGTATCCTCATACTCCATTAGTATACCATTGACCCCGATGCTGGCCAGAAGTGGAAAAATCTACAAAAATAGAGATATTTACTCCCAGGCTGTGTTCGTAGAATTCTACTTTCTCAGGAAGAGTTCAAGTATTGACTAGATTTAATTGTGTATCTCCCACATAAACCAAAAAGTTCAAGATTTAAAATGATTAGCAAAAGAACCAAAAGTAATGAGAAAAAACATTTTAATGTAATGACTTAACAGTGCTTGTAATGTGCTGAAAAGATAATGGAAGGATAGTGGAAACAGATTCAACAGTTGCTTTCAAAAGGGAATTGGATAAACATGAAGAAAACAAAAATTGGAACAAAGTGGGGAAAGACTGTGGATTGAGATCTGGAAAAAAAAAGTGAGAACAGACACAATAGGCCAAATGTTGCAGAGTAATTAGTGGCTATCAGCCCCCTATAGTGGTAGGATTAAAAATGGTATCTTCAAACCAAATCTTTAAGGGGTAATTGTTAAGGGTTAATTGGACATGACAATGAGCAATTAAAGAGCAAGTGGAAAATCTCTGGTTTAGTGCAAGACAATTGTTTAGGCTGTCAGGGAACCATGTGACATGGCCACCTGGAGGATGGTTTTCTGCACAATGGAATGTCTGGAAAAGTACTGAAAGCACCCAGAATAGAATTGATATCAGGCATTCTGCAGCACTTGTTGGACTCCACCTCAGACTGCGATCGCAACCGGTGCCAGGAAACCCAAGTTCTCCAGACCGTAAAGTGGGGTCCCTGATGGGCAGAAGGCAGTGAGACTCGTTGAATATGTCTAAAGTAGTTTAGGCTAACAGTTCCACTCATTAGTTTGCATATGGTTCTAATATATTTATATAGATTATTATACATTCACTTTGTTTTATATATATTTATGACTATATATACACACACCTTTATCTACTGCTTTACATATAACTACTGCTTAATATATACACTGACCACTCAATATATTAATTTACCACTTAATACATTCATAACTGTTTGATATATATATTACCAATGAACTTATTGAGTAGAATCATTTAACTCAGAGTATTTTTAGATCCCACTGAATCCACTCTTGATCCATAACACACCAATGCAGTGCATGTGGGATGAAGGCGGTTAACTGACTTCAGGATACAGCCACACACATGCTCTTACTATCGTCATGTTCCATGATATCAACACATGCACAGGCTGCCCCACCTTTATTTTAATTTGTTAGGTTTTAAAAGGTGATGCCCACTGCCTCCGCAGCTTCCTCCCTCAGTCTCCTGGCTCCTCATGCCAATTTAGTTAATGGTGCGGCAGTGTTGGGAGATCTTTCATTCTCTTTTAGTGCTTGTTTATTCCTCCTTTCTGAACGTTTAAATTCATATAAATGCAGAACCTCAGTAAATACACTCTGCACTGTTATTTTTCTGGTTTGGGTAGAGACGGGAATTGATAAAGGCAAGAAATTACTTACCTTAAGGTCCCAAACAGTAACCAGAAAGCAAAGTGGAACATAAGAGGAAATAATTGGGGGTTTGTCAAAAAGGTAGAGTGTTAATCATGGGAGTTCTTAATCTACATTTGGTCTGGAAAAATTAGAGGACAAAAGTAGCCTATATGAGTAGTTCTTTAGAATGAGTTTGGGGATTGTTTCTTAGAAAATCATGTCCTGGAGTTGACCAAAAACCAGGCTATAATTAGACCTGGATATTGCATAACAAGATATGATTAATTAATAATCTAAGTGAAGGTGCCCATGGGTAACAGTGACCATAATACAATTGGAATTTGACATTAAGTGAGAGGGAAGAAGTGGATCAGAGGTTAGTTTTAAAAATTTAAAAACAATTATGAGGGCATGAAAGCAGAGCTAGCAAAAATAAATTGGCAATTTGTTAGAGACGAGCTTGCAGACATTTAAGGGGTTATTTTGGCCTATGCAGAAGAGAGCATGTTGAGACCATTATTTTTCTTTTGTTTTTCTCAATTTTGGTTTGGAACTGAGAGTTCACTTGAGAATTGAACTTTGAATAGCAGTTTGTTTTTAAAAGAGAGAAAACAAAACATTGATGCTTGTTGTGAACTGGCCTGGAAAGATAATTGCAGGTTAATTACTGTTCTGACTCTGCAGATGTTTCAGCACCTGCGATATATTAAGCTGAACGATCTGCAGTTGCTTGGATTTTAAAAGGTCAAAGGGAGGCCGGTGTCAGCCAGTCAAACAAAGAATGTTGGAAAAACAAAAACCAACTATTAGACTGCTCTTGGGTAGTAGGAACTGCAGATACTGGAGAATCTGAGATAACAAGGTATAGAGTTGGATGAACACAGCAGGCCAAGCAGCATCAGAGGAGCAGGAA